GGTACGCCTCAAGGGTCTGGTGTGTGTAGAAGTACACGGTGGTAGTAACGGTTGCTGAGGCAAGGTGTTATGTGTTGTGTAATCGCTGTGTTCGGAATGAACCGGGGTTCAGCGTCACGACAGGATCAGTTGATTAAGAAAAAGGTTCTGCTGGGGCAGCAGTTTACACTACCAACCATGAAGCTTACTGGAGCATGAATAGTGGGTGCTCAACATTGCAAACAGAATTATATGCCCTGAAGGAGGCAATAAACTATACAATTGAAAATAATTAACATGATGTCATCTTTCATACAGACTCTAAATCTTCACTCCAGGCATTGTTATCCAGTCAGCACAGAGATAATATACAACTCATCACAGAAATTCAACATAAAGGAAAAGAAGCCCATAATCGAGATCTGTCAATCACCCTAAATTGGATATCAAGTCACATTGGCATAGATGGTAATGAAAAGTCAGACTCACTAGCAAAAACTGCGACTGCTCTACCTGTTATACAGGTTCAAATACCTCCAAGTTTCTCACACATAGAGGAGCAAATCAAGAAGAAAATATTCTCAACTATCAAAAGTCGCCACAGAGCCAAAGTAGCGGAAGGAAGATCCACTGCGATATCCCGTAGGGAATCAATCTCTGCTCTCAGAGCTCCAACTAGGTTCATCAGTTCCTTCACCACACCTTCCATTATTGCGATGATAATGTTACTACCTGAACATTGATAACATAACTGAAATGATAATATAACTGAATAGAATATCGTAATATATGATAATATAACTGAAAAAACCTTTAGGATTTGCCTTTGCTTGACCTGCTATACGAACTTCATAGTTTCTTTTTGCTCTTCTTATCTCTTTTTTAACATTTCTAACCAGTTGTGCGAATTCCTGTTCTAAACTGACTTCCCCATTCTTAATCATTTTGTACCAAGCTCTCTTTTTACCTATAAGGTTTTTCAGATCCTTTGTTATCCATTTCGGGTCATTTGTATTTGATCTATTCAATTTGTAAGGTATACCACTTTCTTGTGTTATGCTTAGAATATTTGTAAATAAGTTACATTTTGAATCCAAATCGAAATCCTCCTTTACATCACACTTTGCTGGGTTCACGTCTTGCTCCAAGACCGGCCCACCCCCCTATGCCCAACACTTTCCAATCAATTTAAGAACATAGGATGGAAAGGCTGGAAAGATATTGCAAATCAAATGCAATATCTTTCATAGACAACTGGGAACACTTCTATGGAAGAAATGAAATGTATGCTCGCGATGGGGTGCATCTATCGAGGGCTGGGGTTGTTGTTGTTGAGAATTCGTTGAAACCAGTGGTTAAAGACATTTGTTTGGGTTTAAACTGTTAGTAGATAGTGGTATGGGAATTGATTTGGAGGAAGGAGGTAATAAAAGTATGTGTTTGTGGGAGAAAAGAATTGGCAAAATGATCAGGGAAAGAGAAGGGCCTCAAAATAACAATTCACTTAGGGTATATTACACTAACACTAGAAGTCTAAGAAATAAAATAAACGATTTAAATGTTCTTGTCTGCACAAAAAAATAATATTATTGCACTTACCGAAACTTGGATGAATGGAGAAAATAGAGAACTATTAGCTGAATATCAAATAAATGGATTTAAACTATTTCACACAGATAGATATATTAGACGAGGAGGGGAGTAGCCATATATGTTAGGGACAATTTGAAATGTAGTCTCAAAGAGGGAATCAAATCTGAGCCACACTCAGAAACTATTTGGATAGAATTAAACAAAAAAAGCTAATAATATTATAATAGGAGTTATATATAGGCCACCAAATTTAGACTGAATGGAAGCAAAGCATCTATGGGGTGAAATATCTAGAGCATCTAGACCTAACAGTATTTATGTCATGGGTGACTTTAATTTTAGTGGAATAAACTGGTTGAACAAAACAGGGAATAATGAAGCAGAAGATTTTCTAAAATTAATTGATGATTGCTTTCTTACACAACACATTAAGGAACCAACGATGGTAAATAATATTTTAGATTTAGTGTTAACTAACAGGGAAACACAAATTAAGGACATTGAAATAAGGAGTGAGCTAGGGAACAGTGATCACAAAGTAATCAGATTTAGCATCGAATGGAATAGATCTGTAGGAGAAAATTCTGTTACAGTGCCTGATTTTCGAAAACCTGATTTCAATAGCCTAAGAAATTTTTTGGGTCAAATAGATTGGAATGTCTTGGGGATGGGGTGTGGGCTAGACGTGAACCCAGCGACAGGTGACGAAAAAGGAGATTTCGATGTGGATTCAATATATAATCTATTTAAAAATATTCTAAGCAAAGCCCAGGAACGTAGTATACAATATAAATTGAATATATCTAGTACTAATGATTCAAAGTGGATAACAAAGGATCTGAAGAACCTTATAGGTAAAAAGAGAGCGTGGTACAAAAAGATTAAGAATGGGGAATTTAGTTTAGAACAGGATTTCGAACAACTGGTTAGAAATGTTAAAAAAGAGATAAGGAAAGCAAAAAGAAACTACGAAGTTCGCATAGCAGGGCAAGCAAAGACAAATCCTAAAGGGTTTTTTCAGTTATATCGAATTAAGACTAGGGAAAGGATAGGTCCATTAAAAACTGAGACAGGTCAAATAACAGATAATAACGAGGAGATGAGTAGTATTTTATGAGATGAGCAAATATTTTAAATGTATTTACTAAAGAGGAACTTAACAATATGCCTTCAGCCGAAAAAATATATGTGGGTGGGGATGAGGACAGGTTAACTAGTTTAGCAGTTACCAGCGAGGATGTAATTAAACATATAGTAAAACTAACACCAAACAAATCCCCAGGGCCGGATGAAGTGTTTGCAAGGGTGCTTAAAGAATGCAAAGAGGAGCTTTCCGAGCCACTGTCTACCATATTTAACAAATCAATTGAGTCAGGCAGAGTGCCAGAGTCATGGAAGGTAGCTAATGTGGTACTAATTTTTAAGAAAGGAGATAGATCACTTGCATCAAACTATCGGCCAATTAGCCTAACGTCTTTTGTTGGAAAGTTACTTGAATCGATAATTGCAAATACAATTCGTCTTCATCTTGAAAAGCATAAATTAATAAATGAGTCGCAACATGGTTTTACAAATGGCCGTTCATGTTTAACAAATTTGCTATCTTTATATTCCAGGATAGTTGAGGCAGTTGAGAGTGGTAAGAATTGTGATGTTGTTTATCTTGACTTTAGCAAAGCTTTTGATACAGTGTAACATGAAAGACTGATTAAAAAAATTGAGGCTCATGGTATTGGGGTGCTATATTAAGTTGAATTAGGGCATGGCTATTCCAAAGGAAACAGAGAGTTAGTATAAATGGGGTTAAGTCAGAGTGGGATAATGTTGTTAGTGGAGTGCCTCATGGCTCTATCCTGGGACCTCTGTTGTTTATAATATATTAAAATGATTTAGATTCAGGTTTGAGTAGCAACATCTGCAAATTTCCAGATGTTGCTACTCGTTGTTGCAGATGTCTATAATATTATTTCCCCACGTTGGTTCCTTAATGTGTTGCGTAAGAAAGCAATCGTCAATTAATTCTAGAAAATCTTCTGCTTCATTATTTCCTGTTTTGTTCAACCAGTTTAATCCACTAAAATTAAAGTCACCCATGACATAAATACTGTTTGATCTAGATGCTCTAGATATTTCATCCCATAGATGCTTTGCTTCCATTCTGTCTAAATTTGGTGGCCTATATATAACTCCTATTATAATGTTTGCTTTTTCGTTTAATTCTATTCAAATAGTTTCTGTATGTGGCTCAGATTTGATTCCCTCTTTGAGACTACATTTCAAATTGTCCCTAACATATATGGCTACTCCCCCTCCTCGTCTAATATTTCTATCTGTGTGAAATAGTTTAAATACATTTATTTGATATTCAGCTAATAGCTCTCTATTTTCTACATTCATCCACGTTTCGGTAAGTGCAATAATATCTATTTTTTCTGTGCAGACAAGAGCATTTAAATCGTTTATTTTATTTCTTAGACTTCTAGTGTTAGTGTAATATATCCTAAGTGAATTGTTATTTTGAGGCTCTTTTCTTTCCCTGATCATTTTGCCAATTCTTTTCTCCCACAAACACATACTTTTATTATCTCCTTCCTCCAAATCAATTCCCATACCTCTATCTACTAACAGTTTAAACTCAAACAAACACCTCCAACCACTGGTTCCAACGAGTTCGCAACAGCAACAACCCCAGCCCTCGATAGATGCACCCCATCGCGAGCATATATTTTATTTCTTCCATAGAAGTGTTCCCAGTTGTCTATGAAAGATATTGCATTTAATTTGTAATATCTTTCCAGCCGGCAATTGACACCAATTCAATTCCTCGACATCCATTCATTTCCCACTCCCTTTCTTGGAAGAATGCCACATATGATCGGGATTCCTCCCCTGCTCCTAACTAATTCTATGGCTGTTTTATACCTCTGAAACAGTTCCTCACTCCTAACTCGACCACCATCATTTCCTCCCACGCTAATGGAAATAACGGGATTGTTCCCATTTCCAGCTATAATATCATTCATGTTGTTTATAATATCACCAATACCAGCTCCGGGATAGCAAACCCTTAAACTGTTCCCCCTATCTCTAGCACAAAACGTTCTATCCAAATACGTTATCTGGGAATCTCCCACAACTAAAGTTCGCTTAGGTACTTCCTTTACTCTTTAAGAGGCCTGCGCTTCGTTGCTTTCCATTTCGCGTGATCCGCAGTCTGACCACAGCACTCGTTCTCCAATACGGCAAATGAATAAGAAGTTCTTAGGGCGTCTGTAGGCGGCTTTATCAAAGTCTTCTTAAGGCCCCTGTCCTTTACAACTATCCAAGACGAGGTCTTTTTACTACTGGTCTCCTCCTTCGTATCTTCTCGATTATGGACTTATGTTCTTTTGTGTGTATGTGTTTTAGGAAAAACAAGAACAACGTACCTAAATATGAGAGAGTAGTTATCAGAGGCATATTTTCGGAGTTGAGGGATGGTGAGAGGTTTCCAGGCAGAGGAGAGAGTGTCAGTGTAGCGGTAGAAGCCTCTCTCAGGGTTAAACACCAACTTGTTGCTCCCTGAGAACACACAAACATTGTACACAATTAATGCACTCCTTTAAAACTATTTAACATAATATACAAGCAATTAGAAATATAATTTGATACAGATTAAAACATTTTACAGTATAAGTTTTGATTAATAGAGTTCTTTCACACCACGAAACTCTCCTCCTTCAGTTACCTCTAACGGGAATATCACCCAGACAAGAGTTCCCGGGGCGGACGCACGCGAGCACGCACGCTCACCTGATCCCCAACTTGACTACCAGGACGACAGCTACTGTTACTACCAGGACGCCAACTACTGTTACTACCAGGACGACAGCTACTGTTACTACCAGGACGCCAACTACTGTTACTACCAGGACGCCAACTACTGTTACTACCAGGACGCCAACTACTGTTACTACCAGGACGCCAACTACTGTTACTACCAGGACCAAAACTACTGTTACTACCTGGACCCCAACTACTGTTACTACCAGGATGACAACTACTGTTACTACCAGGATGACAACTACTGTTACTACCAGGACCCCAACTACTGTTACTACCAGGACCCCAACTACTGTTACTACCAGGACGCCAACTACTGTTACTACCAGGACCCCAACTACTGTTACTACCAGGACGCCAACTACTGTTACTACCAGGACTGACAACTACTGTTACTACCAGGACCCCAACTACTGTTACTACCAGGACCCCAACTACTGTTACTACCAGGACCCCAACTACTGTTACTACCAGGACGACAACTACTGTTACTACCAGGACCCCAACTACTGTTACTACCAGGTTACTACCAGGACCCCAACTACTGTTACTACCAGGACCCCAACTACTGTTACTACCAGGACCCCAACTACTGTTACTACCAGGACGACAACTACTGTTACTACCAGGACCCCAACTACTGTTACTACCAGGACCCCAACTACTGTTACTACCAGGACGACAACTACTGTTACTACCAGGACCCCAACTACTGTTACTACCAGGACCCCAACTACTGTTACTACCAGGACGACAACTACTGTTACTACCAGGACCCCAACTACTGTTACTACCAGGACCCCAACTACTGTTACTACCAGGACGACAACTACTGTTACTACCAGGACCCCAACTACTGTTACTACCAGGATGACAACTACTGTTACTACCAGGACCCCAACTACTGTTACTACCAGGACCCCAACTACTGTTACTACCAGGAAAACGGAAACAAGCAACACTTAGTGGGCCAGCCAGCGGCTTAGGGCCCGCGCAGGAATATCCCTGCCAACAAAAACGAAGAAAAATAAAATGGATTGAAAGAATTGTTATGTTTACGTGTTGATGTGTTGATTTGTGTTGCCGTGTTGATATGTGTGGACTTGTTGATATGTGGACGTGTTGATGTGTGAGGACGTGTTGATGTGTGTGGACTTGTTGATATGTGGACGTGTTGATGTGTGTGGACTTGTTGATATGTGGACGTGTTGATGTGTGTGGACTTGTTCATATGTGGACGTGTTGATGTGTGTTGCCGTGTTAATGTGTGTGGACTTGTTGATGTGTGTGGACTTGTAGATGTGTGGACGTGTTGATTTTTTATTCCTTTGCAGGGATATTCCTGCGCGGGCCCTAAGCCTCTGGCTGGCCCACTAACTGTTGCTTGTTTCTGTTTTAATTGTAGGCGGAGTATGAGTATTTATGACTCGTATGGTCACTTCTGTAAGATTTTGTCCCATGTGTTTAACAACTTCTTCTGCTCTGTTGAATCTAACTTGAAATCTTAATGGGTTTGCAACTCTGCACTGTGTTAGATAATGTTCCAGTGGTCTGTCGGGCATTTCTCCACTGTGCTGACATTTCCTCTCATCTTCTGGAACCTATAAGCATATTTCCCATGCGCATGGGTATCCTAGCTTGATGCGATGTAAGTGTACTTCTATTGTTCTACTGTTCCCTTTCATCAACATAAGTGGTTCGCAGTCGGTTGAATTCTTGTACCAACCCGCAGATCCTGATGTTGCAACTGCTGTTTTGTGGTCACTGTACATCTTTTGCATCGCTCTGTTTCTAATTACTTTCTTAATCTGTGATAGACTCTGTGGTATGTAGTAGTAGTAGTAGGCATCCATTGTCTCAGGAGTGTTGCGCTCTGGTTGTTGGTCTGGAGTGGCCTCCCCAGGGCGCAAAGCCAGGGTAGGTTAATATGGAGGAGAAGTTGTTACCCAAGTAGCAGGTTCCGCCTCTCCACGGCGTCTCCAATGGAAAGGCAAACGCCGATACGATTGGTTCCAGCACCGTCGCAGGAACTGTGAGTTCTGGGGATGACCTCGAAGGTGGTGAAAGAATGTGCTGGGACTCCAAACCCGGAGACCGCCGTGGTCGGGGCCGGAGAAGAACCACCCCAGCAAGGGCAAGAACGACCCCAGCCTCCTGAAGCAGAGCCTGAGGGTCGCACGAGCCCCGGGAGGTGGACGTCCCGGTCCCGCACCTACGGGTTCCTGACAGAGATCATCACAGCCCTCTTTCACCCGAGGCCGGCTTCCTTCACGACCAAGTAGAAGGAAGAATGATAATTATTAATTATTTATATTATTATTATAATAATAATTGTTGCATTTAATAAATATCACTCTTCCTTCTGTTGGGTCATGAAGGAAACCGGCCTCGGGTGAAAGTGGGCTGTGATGATCTCTGTCAGGAACCCGTAGGTGCGGGTGTTATGGACCCGAGCCCAACGTCGTAGCACGGAGCAGTGACGTCCACGCCATCTGTGAGTCAGCTCCCGAAACCCCCTCCAAATGGACGACGCCATCTAGTGAGGACGAGATATACCGGCCACAGGGGCTGGTTTCCCGTCTTATCCAGCTCATAACATAGCCGCTGCTGACCTCTGGTGAGGTGACGCTTAGATAGCAATGCCATCTATGAAATGGATAGGTGGGCGTTTGTGTCTAAGCCTGTAAGTGAAGTGCCCTAGAGAGTACCCAGTACTAATGACGTGTCTGATTACAGAGTTGACCTGGGACTGCTGAATCGGATGGTGGGGCAGTCTACCCAAGGCAGCCATAGTATCTCCACGTGTTTGCTGCAGAAGCTGTGAGTCACCCCCCGGATGAACACTGTTGTGTTAGCCTGCCTGTGAGGTGGCAGAACCAGGAATTGTCGTACCCAGGGCTAACTGGTGGAGAAGACTAGCCACTGGGGTGTTAAGAGAGGAGAATGATCAGCGGAATCACACGAGGCTCCTGTCTAGGGTTCGCAACCCTAGTATCGGTCGTGAAGTGGCCTACGCAGCAGAGCTGATTGGAACCTGCCAGCTACAGGCTGGATTTGTGGTTGAAGGCCTCCACGACGGTGCACCCAGTGGGACTGTGATTTGGCTGGCCTGTGGCCAGGGTAGACTCGCCTAGGGAATCAAAGGATTCATCGTGAGGCCACAAGAAGAGAACCAGGGCTACTCGTCTTGAGCACCGTGAAACGTCCTGCGTCTTCGGAGGAAGACAAGTGATTGTACATAAGTGTAGTCATAGTAACCGCGTGTGACTGTTTATATATTTATTTATGGTGGTGGTGTGAATATATATTTAAATAGAGTGCAATTGTATCCCTTCCCCTTTAATTTATTTGCGTTGCGGAACACAGCCCTTGAAAGCCACTACTAACTTGGGGCCGGATACCCAAACTCTAATAACATCAGAGAAGAACCCCAGTTGCGACCCAATAGGGCCGTAACAGCGGGATCGGGACGTCCACTTTATGGGGCTCGTGCAGCCCCCAGGCTCTGCTTCAGGAGGCTGGGGTCGTTCTTGCCCTGTTGATTTGGTATGTAAATGTCTACATTTCTTCTCTTAGTTGCAAGTTTTGCAGCTTCGTCTGCAATGTGACGTGTTGATGTGTGGACGCGTTGATGTGTACTCACCTATTTGTGCTTGCGGTGGTTGAGCTTTGGCTCTTTGAGCTTTGGCGCCTCTCAACCGTCAAACAACAGGTGTACAGATTCTTAAGCCTACTGGGCTCTGTCATATCTACATTTAAAACTGCGTATGGAGTTAACCTCCACCACATCACTGCCTAATGCATTCCACCTGTTAACTACTCTGACACTGAAAAAGTTATTTCTAACATCCATGTGGCTCATTTGAGTACTCAGTTTCCACCTGTGACCCCTTGTTCGCGTACCCTCAGTGTTGAATAGTTTATCCTTGTCAGCCGTCAATTCCCCTGAGGCTTTTGTAGGTAGTGATCATGTCTCCCCTTACTCTTCTGTCTTCCAGTGTCGTAAGGTACATATCGCACAGCCTTTCCTCGTAACTCATGCCTCTTAGTTCTGGGACTAGTTTAGTTTTTTTTCTACCACAGACGTAGCCACGCATTTACAATGCTAACCAACATATATACATTTTCTTCTGTCCTCCATGGACAGGGTTAGAGATGCGTTAAACATATAGTTCAAGGGTTTATTGAACACTCAACCACTGAAGGTGATTCGGTGCTTTTAACATGCTAAGCTAACCTACATACGTAAATACATAGATACACAGATTTATGTATGCCTTACATAAAGTGTTCGATGTGTGTTTTACACAGTGTCATTAATGTACATTTACAAAGGTGAAATGTAATTCTGATCAGCTTCCATGTATACTTTGTACCCATACATATACATACATATATACACACACATGCATTCACATACATTTGTCTCATTTACTCTGACAGGGTGAGATAGCTGATAAAGAAACTAGTGTGCAATTAAGCACTTAATCACTGAAGGTGATTAAGGTGCTTTTACAAGCTCAGGTTATATAGTTACATCATATACATACATTGTATAATTAATCTATTACATGGTCAATCTTGGATACAAGTCCAATATATCATCAAGTGTTCCAGTATTCATATAGTAATTACAGAGTTCAGCATACCTTAGCCCAGGAGGGCGAAAGTCAGTCAGTATGGGACATTCTACAATATAATGTTCAAGAGAGTGCATGTTTTCTCTTTCACAAAGTTGACACATTGTGTACTCGACATTTGGGGTTTGAGAAAGCTGCCAGATACGTCGATATCCCAGGCGTATTCTGGCCACTATAACATCACATTGCCGGGTTCTTGTTCTATTAGTCCCATATGTGAATGTCTCCTCACGACATCTATCATAATATTTAATGCTACAACTTTCAGGTCTTTGAGAATTTGTTAGGTCGGTGAGATCTTCATTAGATATTTGTTTAAGTATTCTCTTTGTCACTTCTAATGAAATACCCATATCAATTTCTACCACTGGTTTTCTACAGGCTGTCTTTGCAAGCATATTAACAGTGTCATGCCTTGAAATGCCAACATGTGATGGTATCCATAGGAATTTAATTTCAAATCTGTTTTCTTTGGCAGCTAAAACATTCATTCGAATATCACTGACTATTTTCTGGGTGTCACTACGATGTGCGTTCAATGCCAGGAGTGCACTCTGCGAGTCACAGTATATAAGTCCACTGCCTTTGTCTTTTAAAAATTCAGTGGCAAAGTATATGCCTGCAAGTTCGGTTTGAGTTGTACTTGCCCAGTCATTGACGCGCTTCATTGCTGTATGTACGAGAGAAAATTGTTCAAATATATTACATGCACATCCTGTACATCGTCCACCTTCTTCTACAGAGCCGTCGGTATAGCACTGATACACATCGTTACCCATACTCTGAGTACTTTCAGTGATGCCTTTCAGTGTTAACTGCTTTAATAATGTAGAGTGCACAATATGTTTCTTGGGCGCATTTACAAAATCAATCCTGAAGGCTGTTCTGATGTTAGCCAGCCTCACATATGCCGCAGACGTAATTCTTTTTATTTGGGCGTCAGGAGGCAGGTTTGGTGTGATATCAACTCCTATATCTTTCTCTCTGTCCGTTTCATGAAGTACTTCATCTCCTATTCTGTATCCTGTGTCTGGCCTCCTGTTTCCACCGCCAAGTTTCATTACTTTGCATTTACTCGGGTTGAACTTTAAGCAGCCATTTGTTGGACCATTCATTCAGTTTGTCTAGTTTATCTTGTAGCCTCCTGTTATCATCCTCTATTTCAATCCTCCTCATAATTTTTGCATCCTCAGCAAACATTGAGAGGAACGAGTCTATACCCTCTGGGAGATCATTTACATGTATCAGAAACAGTATAGGGCCAAGGACTGACCACTACGGGACTCCACTTGTTATGTCTCGCCAATCTGAGACCTCACCCCTCACAGTGACTCGTTGTATTCTGTTGCTTAGGTACTCCCTTATCCAATGGAGTACCTTCCTTTTCACTCCAGCCTGCATCTCCAGCTTTTTCACTAGTCTCTTGTGTGGTACTGTGTCAGCCTCTTGTCTGAAACTGTTGTGTGTGTGTGGACGTGTTGATGTGTGTGGACGTGTTGATGTGTGTTGATGTACAGACGTGTTGATGTGTGTGGACGTGTTGATGTACAGACGTGTTGATGTGTGTGGACGTGTTGATGTACAGACGTGTTGATGTGTGTGGACTTGTTGATTTGTTTACTAGTTGTGTTTTTTTTTTTTTACGGGGGTTGAGCTTTGCTCTATCGGCCCGCCTCTCAACTGTCAATCAACTGTTTACTAACTACTATTTTTTTTTTCTACACCACACACACACACCCCAGGAAGCAGCCCGTGACAGCTGACTAACTCCCAGGTACCTATTTACTGCTAGGTAACAGGGGCACTTAGGGTGAAAGAAACTTTGCCCATTTGTTTCTGCCTCGTGCGGGAATCGAACCCGCGCCACAGAATTACGAGTCCTGCGCGCTATCCACCAGGCTACGAGGCCCCTAGTCCCTGTGTGTGGACGTGATGATATAGGGACGTGTTGATGTGGGGACGTGTTGATGTGTGTGGACGTGATGATATAGGGACGTGTTGATGTGTGTGGACGTGTTGATGTGTGTGGACGTGATGATATAGGGACGTGTTGATGTGTGTGGACGTGATGATATAGGGACGTGTTGATGTGGGGACGTGTTGGTGTGTTGATATGTGTGGACGTGTTGATGTGTGTGGACGTGATGATATAGGGACGTGTTGATGTGGGGACGTGTTGGTGTGTTGATATGTGTGGACGTGTTGATGTGTAGACGTGTTAGTGATGTGAAGGAGGTGTTTGTGAACTTAAGTGTGGAAATATATCTTAAATGGAATATCTTCTGAAAATTATATTCATTTCAAATATGGCTTCCAAGAGTTGACTGGGAGGGGCTTGTGTTAGTCGGGAGAGGGGCTAGAGTTGGTCGGGAAAGGGGCAGGAGTTGGTCGGGGGAGGGTCTAAATTTGGTCGGGGATGGGGTTACTGTTGGTCGGGGGAGGGGCTAGAGTTGGACGGGAGAAGGGCAAGTATTGGACAGGGGAGGGGCTAGAGTTGGTCAGGGGAGGGGCTAGAGTTGGTCGGGGGAGGGGCTAGATTTGGTCTGGGGATTAGTTACTGTTGGTCGGGGGATTAGTTACTGTTGGTCGGGGAGGGACTAGAGTTGGTCGGGGAAAGGCTAGATTTGGTCGGGGGAAGGGCTAGTGTAGGTTGGGGGGGCTAGTGTTGGTCAGGGGTCTAGTGTTGGTCGGGGCAGGGGCTAGAGTTGGTCGGGGGAGGGGGTAGTGTTGGTCGGGGGAGTGCTAGTGTTGTCTGGGTGGGTTTTGTTAGTCGGTAAGGGCAGGTTTTCGTTGGGGGAGGGGCTAGTGTTTGTCGGGGGTATGTGCAGTGTGGTCTTGTGACGGAAGTGTTGGTCGGGGGGGGACAATATTGGGGGGGGGAATGGGCTAGTGTTAGTCTGGGGATGTGCACTCGTGTTGGTCGTGGGGACGGGCAAGTGTTGGACGGGGGATGAGCAATGTTTAATGGTGGGGTAGGAGTTAGTGTTAGTCTGGAGGCAAGGTTTGGTCGGGGAGGGGCAAGTATTGGTCGGGAGGGGCAAGTGTTTGACTCGTGAGGGGCATTGTGTTGGTCGGTGGAGGAGTTAGTGTAGGTCGTGGAGGGGCAAGTGTTGGTCGGTGGAGGGGCAAGTGTTGGTCGGTGGAGGGGCAAGTGTTGGTCGGTGGAGGGGCAAGTGTTGGTCGGTGGAGGGGCAAGTGTTGGTCGGTGGAGGGGCAAGTGTTGGTTGGTGGAGGGGCAAGTGTTGGTCGGTGGAGGGGCAAGTGTTGGTCGGTGGAGGGGCAAGTGTTGGTCGGTGGAGGGGCAAGTGTTGGTCGGTGGAGGGGGCAAGTGTTGGTCGGTGGAGGGGCAAGTGTTGGTCGGTGGAGGGGCAAGTGTGGTCGGTGGAGGGCAAGTGTTGGTCGTGGAGGGGCAAGTGTTGGTCGTGGAGGCAGTGTTGGTCGTGGAGGGCAAGTGTTGTTGGTGGAGGGGCAAGTGTTGGTCGGTGGAGGGGCAAGTGTTGGTCGGTGGAGGGGCAAGTTTGTCGGTGGAGGGGCAAGTGTTGTTCGGTGGAGGGGCAAGTGTTGGTTGGTAGAGGGGCAAGTGTTGGTCGGTGGGGGCAAGTGTTGGTCGGAGAGGGGCAAGTGTTGGTCGGTGGAGGGGCAAGTGTTGGTTGGTGGAGGGCAAGTGTTGGTTGGGGAGGGGCAAGTGTTGGTCGGTGGAGGGGCAAGTGTTGTTGGTGGAGGGGCAGTGTTGGTTGGTGGAGGGCAAGTGTTGGTCGGTGGAGGGGCAAGTGTTGGTTGGTGGAGGGGCAAGTGTTGGTTGGTGGAGGGGCAAGTGTTGGTCGGTGGAGGGGCAAGTGTTGGTTGGTGGAGGGGCAAGTGTTGGTCGGTGAGGGGCAAGTGTTTCGGTGGAGGGCAAGTGTTGGTTCGTGGAGGGGCAAGTGTTGGTCGGTGGAGGGGCAAGTGTTGGTCGAGGGTGTTGGAAATTTCCAACATCCAAATGCTAACCCCTAGTGCAATATTATAAATTTATTGCACCCAGGAATATAATTTACAATACTACTAACCAAGAGTGTAGCAATATTAACTTTATTATATTTGAGGAGTAGTAATGCCAGCTTTCTCCTAGAATTCATGCCTGAGATTGCATCTGTTAACCAGCCCGGAGAATAAATTCCACATATTTACCAATCGAATTTAATCCAGCCTAAACTTGTAAAATTTATTAAAGAATATAAATCATGAATAGATTTATTTCTAATAGCACATTATATAGCTGATTACTGGAAATAGTTTTATACAGCTGTGATCAGCTGACGGGTAAACAAAACGATGAACTGAATTTCCACTACGAATATATCTCGTCTATCTAACGTCATTTAGGTTAAATGATTTGCACAGTGAGAAAGAATCTGCTGTTATATAGAGCACGTTATTATGACGTAAATTATCGTCAGCAATGTTTCCATCCATTCGAAACGTTGAGTAAAATATTGCGAATTAATACCAAAGTTTCCAACATTCGGCGTTAGGTGGCCCGCGCGACACTTGTGAGTAGGAGACTTGGGAGAGACAGCCGCCATTACAGTTGGTCTTCTGAAGCTGATCTTTATCATCGATCAAATGGAGGAGCATCCATTCAATAACGAGCTTCAGATCGATTCGACAGCTCCCATATGTTAGAGACACCATGTCCGGCAAGGCAGAGTACCACTGATTTGCTAATTTGGCCATTTTTATAATCATGTTGTTGTCTTGCCATTATGCAGTTTAACAACCCCATAACTCCCGTGAGTGGTATTCTTATTACCTATTCACTTAGATTTCATGAGTAAATATATAGATGTATTTCTTTACGTGGAAATTACAAGTGATTCATAGTTCAGCATGAAGCTACTGCAAGGGAGACGTAATTCAGCCGGTAGAGTCACGTGTCGCCAGAGATTCCCAATTCGGAAAGGATTAGACTGGTTATAAGGGCTGCTGGGCGCAATCTTCGTTCCACATTGGCAGCTAAGCCTTTAATCGTTTCCATTCAGCAGTTAGTTTATTTATCTGTGCATTAATTAATTATGATGATAAATTAATATTTTTCTCTACTATATGTAGACTAATATTATATAATTTACCCTCCAGAAGATGTGTAAGGGATTTTCTCTATTTAAATTGAAGTTTTACAGTCCACTTATCGTAATTAATTTCTTTGAATTAATTATCAAGTTTATTATTTGAGATCCATAGATCACAGTACCAACCTTCTTCATGTTCCTAATAAATTTCTGAATAATGTTACATGTTAGAGTGAATTTCCCCACATCTTTTATGGTCGACTTCGAACTGGATTGATGAACATTTTAATATAAATTACTGATTTATATAATCAGTATAATTCAACTAACAAATTACTAACACTGATAATATTATACTCTTAATTAAGAATTATTGTTTGGAGCTAGGCTATACAATTAATAATGTTACGGCTGTCAGCAGACTGCCATTCATATAGCCTAACTCTATTTTTTACAACTACAGTTTAATTAAACATTACCACCCCTACTACGCTAAAGCTTAATATATAAAGTGGCTTTAGTGGGCCATAGTCAGTTGCCCACAACATTGAGTCCCATACCTCACACTGAAGTGAGAATATTCAGATCTCCTTGAGCAGCAGCTCACAGTTTTATTAATAACCCTGTGTTAACATCCGTATTAGACTGGCCACACCATTTAATAATTATTAATCTAGGTGGCAAAACGACAGTCAGCCAACTCGGCACCCAGCTGATATCTTTTATATAATTAAAAATGTAAATGTTCGTTTTTGTTCAAAATCGCTAATCTCCGAAAGTTCTTCGCCGATTGCCTTGAAATTTTCACACAACGTTCCCTTCGCATCCGAGCGGGTTTTATATATACGTCCTATATAGATGTCACGTCTGTGACTGGAAAAAGCATATTTTTTTTAAAAGCTGTGTTTTTTGGGTGTTTTTCATGTGAGGGAAATCTTTGAAACCTCTTTACCGATTGCTTTGAAATTTTGATGCAACTATGCATTCGATTCGGCGAATGTGTTTATGTAGCTACTATATACATGCCTCACCTGTGACAGGAAAAAACACGTTTTTTTTTTAAGACAGTGCCATCTGTAGGACATAAGAGCAACACATGCTGTAATGTCCAAAAGTTCTTGACCGATGGCTTTGAAATTTTGACACACAGTTCCATTCGAATACATGCATGTTTTTATATACCTACTATTTAGATGCCACACCTGTGACAGGTAAAAACATGCGTGGGATTCGCTCACTGGACGCCAGAGGGCCAGGATGTGCTCGTTTGACCTGCCAGTTGTCGTCTGGTGCTGAGTGGAGGCGGGTGTGGATTGTGGTGTGGTGCGCCCGCTGGCCGGAAGGCCCGGCTGGTGGTATGGTGATTGGTGGTGTGTCCCGCGTATGGCGGGTGGACACGGCGTGCCTTGACTTCTCAGGGGATGTAGACTGGGCGATTGTGGAAGTTGCTGTCGTCGATGTGCTTCAAGCGGATGTCCAGGATTTGATAGGGCTGGAAAAGCTTTCCCCTACGCGAGTGGCGATGACCTTCTGCAGGAGCTCGCTGTACAAGGAGTTTGTGGCGCGTTGGGCCGGCCACTCGGTTTCAGTCACCGACACGGCTGTGTCTGTGGCCGTTTCGGATCCCTGGGGGGCCGTGCAGTACGTGAGTGTGCATGGTGTCCTGGTGACGTTCTCTGAGGATGAGCTGCGGGTTGTGTTTGGAAAGTATGGAGAGGTGCAGTTTCATCGTTTCAACCATCTGCGTACAGGTTGGCTGAGCGGGCTGCGTACGGGCATTCGTACGCTAGGTATGAAGATTACGTCACCGGTACCGTCTCGCGTCTTCTGTATCGTGGGCTCTCGCTCAGAGTATTTTATCAGGGACAGACTCGCACTTGTTTCCGGTGTGGTGCTGAGGGCCATGTGGCAGCGAGCTGTGATGCTCCTCGGGCTGAGGCTCCCTCCGTTTTCTTGGAGGGTGACTTTCCCCCTTTGGAGACGCGGGGGGGGCTTCCTCATCGCCTTCCTCGCCCTGGCGAGGTGCCTGGGGTGGTTCCTGCGGCGGGTTCAGCAGTGCTCCCTCTGCTCCCCTCTGTCCCTGTTTGGTCGGGACATAGTACGTCTTGCTTCCCCGGTGTGCTCTGTGGGAACGGGAGCTCCTACCTCGGGGGTTCCTCGTTCGGTGGTGGCGGAGGTGCATCCGCGGCCGGAGGCTTCTGTCTTCTGTGCGGGTGTGGTGCCTCGGCTGCTGCTGTTGGTGTGGTGCCTCCTTCCTCCCCTGCGTGACTCCCCTCGTCTGAAGAGTGTCTGCTGCCGCGGGGTTGCTGGGGTTGTGGGGTGTGTGGTCCTCCTCCCTGCCCTCTGACTCTGCGTCGACTCCCTCGTCGTCTACAAAGGTCGCCTTGTCCAGTGGTTCGTTGGCTGCGATTGCCTCGGCGTCCGTGGTGGATGCCCCCTGTGAGCTGGAGTGTGCTCTCCCACTTTCTGGGCCTGCTCCTTCTGCTCCGGTCTCCGGGCGTGGTGGTAAGCTGTGGCCCCATGCTGTGGAGGTTGCTGCTGTGTGTGTCCGTGCTGCTTCGGCTTTGGGCCCGCCCGCGTCGGGTTCTTCTGGAGCACCCCTTGCTGGGGGTCGTTGTACCGACGATCAGCAGCCTCATGTGAAGCGCCGTCGTTCGGCTCAGGATACATCGCCTCGTCGGTTGTGGGCGGAGGGCGGTGTGGCGATGGAGGTTGCGGGCGAGGACATCGAGGAGGTTTCTTCTGTGGTGCCTCCAGTGACGGCAGCTGCGCCTCCTGATGGTGGCACCTCTGGGTGGGTGGCTCATCGCGGTGACCGGGACCTGGTGGTCGTGTTGTCTAAGAGTAACTGTCGGGGGTCTTCGGCCCTTGTTCCGGTTGGTGGGGGCTCTGCGGATCCGGCAGAGGGCTCGTCCATGGGGCTGGGTACGGCGACTGGCGGTGTTCACTGTGATCGCCCTGGGGTCCAGGATGAAGTGCGGCCTGTGTGTCGCGATGGGTTGGGGGTGTCCTGAGGTTGTCCCGATGGCGCCCTCTGTAGTTTGTGCGTCCTTGAATGTTCGGGGTTTGAATGCTCTTGGGGTCCAGTTGGGCCTGTTGGATGTTTTGCAGGAGCAACGTGTGGATGTGGCTCTCATACAGGAGCATAATGTGCATGATGTGTCTGTGTTGCAGTGTCTAAGCGTGCATTATCATGTGGTGCTCAACTCGCCGAGGACGCCTTTCGGGGGGGACCCTTATGTTATTCTCTCGTAAGGCCTCCATCTCCGTGCTTCACACGGAGTTGGACGAGGATGGGCGGGTGTTGTTTGTGCGGGTGGAGTTTTTGGGGGTCGTGATTCCGTTCTTGACGGTGTACGCCCCCTCGGGTGTAGCGCGTCGTCGGGAGAGGGAGGAGTTTTTTCGGGTGGGTCTTCTTCCTTTCTTGCGCCATGATACGCGGGGCATGATTTTTGGAGGGGACTTCAATTGTGTGACGAGTGCAGGGATTGTTGTAGCGCTCGTCCGCAGAATGTCTCGGGTGCGCTGCTGGAGGTGGTGCGTTCATGTGGTTTCCGAGACGCTGCTGTGCTCTTTGGTGGAGGGTTGTCGTTTACTTTTGCTGCACGTGGGGTGTGTTCGCGCATCGATAGGGTGTATGTCAATGGTGGGGAATGTACGGTGTATGATTTTCGCACTGTCCCGGTTGCATTCTCCGACCACAGTTTGGTGGTGGTCCGGGTTGGGGTACCCAGTCAGGTGCGGGTCGGTGCGGGGTGGTGGAAGCTAAACTGTGGGTTGTTGCGTTCTCTGCGTGTTTGTCGTCAGTTTCGGTGTTGGTGGGTCGGGATTCGAGCCCGGCGTTGTGAGTTTCTGTCTGTCTTGGAGTGGTGTAAAGTGCAGTGTCGTTTGTTTTTTCGCGTGGTTGCTAAGCGCGAGGCTGCTGGGCGCTTTGGGTTGCTGCGGTTGTTGCAGGCGCAGTTGTCGAGGTTGTATGTAAGGTACGATGCTGGTGTTGATTGTTTTGATAAGATTGTGGACTGCAAGGCGCGTATATGCGGGTTGCGGAGTGAGTGGGCGGAGGGTGTGCGTGTGAGGGCTCGTGTAAGTGAGAGGGTAGACGGGGAACGGATTTCTCCATTTCTTTTAAGTAAGGTGCGGGACTCTGTTCTTTTTACGGCCTTGCAACGGCCAAATGGGACGGTTGTTTCGGACACTGGTGGGGTGTTGCACTATGTTCGGCAGGAGTTGGCTGCGCTGTATGCGGAGGTGGCTGGGGACGCCGCACTTGCAGAGGATTTCTTGGGTCGGTGCCTTCCTGGGTTGTCGGTTGCGGAGTGTGCTGGTCTGGTGAAAGAGGTCTCCTTGGCGGAGCTGCTTGTGGTGGTGCGGTCGTTTCGTTCCGGGAAGGTGCCGGGTTCGGATGGTCTTCCTATTGAGTTCTATGTCGCCTTTTGAGATGTGTTGGGGGATGTTCTGCTGGAGGTGGTCCAGTCTTGTCTTCGGGAGTGTGTTCTGCCTATGTCTCAGTGCGTTGGGATTGTGCGGCTTCTCCCGAAGTCGGGCGATCTATGGTTATTCTCAAACTGGTGGCCCATTACTTTGTTGAATGTCGACTACAAGATCCTGTCTAAGGTCTTGGCTGGTCGGTGTCGCAGTGTTGTTGCGTCTGTTGTCTCTGTGGAG